GGTGTTGTTTTGACTTTTAAAACTATGTTGAGAAGTTCACACATATGTTTGTTGCTGCTCTCTGTTGTTTGTGAATGTGTATCTTGACTCTACGGAGATTTGTCACGAGAAAACTACCGCTAACGTTGCGTTTGTGTGGGGGGAGTAAGACTGGTCATCCAGTGAGATCGAGGGGAAAATGATTTTCACAGGAGTCAGTGGGCCTATAAATTAGGACCTTCTCGTTGAGGCGTACCTTGAGAGTAGGAACTCTTTACGCTCCTTCCTTAAGGAAGGTCTCCTCCTAAGATACAAAGCCACTGTGAGGACTCGGCATTGCCGAGTCGGCAGGCAAGTACCACTTGACATGAAAATGGAATGTATAAGCTCTTGAGTCAGATACGCGTTTTGCTCGTGAGAGGATCAAACTCACTTGTTAGTGTCATGTTCTCGTAAAGAAATCTTAGCTGCTCCTCTTTCATGGAAAGGTAGAACTCTCAACCATAGAGGTTGTTGAAAAAGTGTAAGTGCTCCGCGGTCTTATACCTGCGAGCAGACCTCGTCGAAGATAGTAAGGCCACGTCATTCCCTGAGAGGGAATCCCCATTTTTGAAACAATAAAGGCTCATATACGCAATGCGCCCATTGCTGGAACAATCAGCTTCGTATACAAAATGCGCGATGCCAGATGATAGTGCTAAAGGAAAGTTACAAAAACCCACATTCCTTGAAATAATCGTGAAAGCTCATCTTATTGTCGAAGACGAGCAGCACTAGGTTTATCGTCAGTGCACTTTCAGTCCGTGTCTCCTGTTCGAACTAGTAGCCCGATTCTACCACAACCAGACCCGCATTTTTAGCATTACTCGTTTTTTGCTTATCTGTTTGTGATACGCTAAAATATGGCATAGCTCGCTAGTACTAATACAGGTATGGATTCACTTGTTAAAGTCAAGGTTATCCTTAAAATTGGGTTTCAGGTGTATGTGATTATCATTGGGGAGGATCTTGATCATTGAGTGAATGGCGTTAGGATTTATGTAGTTGTCAATCGCGTATGAGCGTTATGAGTGTTTCTAGTGTTTTTCCAAGTTGATCACTATGAAGTTTTTCGTGGTTGCTGCCTCTGCTATTGTCGCTCTCTCTTTGACGGGATGCAGTGATGATTCGACGACTACTGCAGCTCCTACTACGGCTCCTAGTATAGCTACTACGGCAGCTGCTCTGGCCACTACTGCATCTCCAATCAAAACTACTTCTACACAGTCGTCGTCTGAGAGCACTTCTACTCCTCGGACTTCTACTGTGATGACGTCGTTCCCTATCACCTCGACTTCTGGCTCTTTAGATGATTCAACCACAGTCTCATCAGAGACCACTACCAAGAGGAGGCCCTTCCGACCCACTACGACGACTTCTCTTGCTGATGGATCTACAGTGAATCCTTCCGAGACTACAACAAGAAGGCCGTTCTTCAGACCGACCACTACACCCTCGGCTAGCTCGACGACTTCTTCTGCTGATGGACCTACAGTTAATCCTTCCGAGACTACAACAAGGAAGCCGTTCTTCAGACCGACCACTACACCCTCGGCTAGCTCGACGACTTCTGGTGATTCGAGTAGTGCCTCTACTGGTCTCGCAACCTCAACGTTGGTAACATCAACTACAGCGAAGTCTGATGGTTCTACAACTGCCTCGACCACTACGACTACGTCCGGCCCCGCCGAGAGTTGTCTTGCTGCTCCTAGTGGAAAGTATTGCGGTAAGTACATGCTTTTTAAGGGCACCGCTACTATCAACGATGAAACATTCGACTTGACTGTAAGACCTCTAGTTAATGTCAAGGGTATTGGTTACACTATGGAGGACTGCACTGCGATGGAGCCTGACTATAATGATCCTCAGATGGTGGAGTTGGCTAGTGAGCTCGGTATGACGCCTCAGGAACTTGACGAAGCTCTGACTGTTACGTACGACGAGTCGAACGACCATGTCAATGTATCTCTGGCTGGAGTAATGTCTCTCAGCCTTTCGAAGGACCAGTGCTAAAGTTCACTGAGTCTGTGTTGTTGGCCTTTAACTTGTCCAGAAGGTTACTCTTGTTGCTATTTTTTACGCTTTTTGTTACCGATTCATGATTGATGGCTGTGACTATCATGAATGAGTTTTCGGTTATCCACTCTCTTGCGCGCTACTATGTTTTCGCTTCGTTTGGCAGGGGAGCGTCTTTGAGTTCTATTCCGTCCCGACGTCAATTGAGATGAGAGGTTAAAGGTGATGCAAACACAGTCGAGCGTGGTGGATTCGAAGAGTTGCTCGTAGGGTAACGAACGATTTGGCGGCTGGTTCGAGGTAGTCAGCTACATGTATTTGGCTATCGGTAGAAGTAAGAGCGCTTCACTGAAGCATTAGAAATGATACACTAATATGCGCAAACGACTAATATGCGCAAAGTATGCTATATACGCAAACGACATCTAGGTCAAGTTGCAAGCACATGAAAAGGCGATGTACCTCGTTTCTCCCTCGTGTTGCTTCCAGACCAACACAATGGGGTGTCTGTCGGGTTGTGTTCTTCATGAAGTCACAAAGAAATTGTCGAATTTGGAATCAGATCCGATTACTTGACAATTCGAGGACATCTCGGTAGAGTAGGGTTAAGCCAAAAACCAGCTGAGCAGAAAGGGACTTTGTCGAAGCTGTATGGGATGATAGTTGCGTCGAAGACGGATGGCTCTCCCATCGTGGATTTTCTCGATAGGCTTCTTAATGCGAAGCCGTTGCTCAGCTTCTATCCCCTGCCTCTGGCTGTGGCTCTTGTTTGGCCTCAAGCCTTGGAAATTGGGTAGAAACAGGATCCTTGTGTACAATCAAGGCAAATGACAGTTCCTCTCAATAGAAGCAGAGGGATAACTAACGTTACAGTCATTTCGTTCACTTTCGACGTGGACAGACGATGGGTTGGAGCTTTGGAGTAATTTTCCCGAGGCACATTTCCCGATCGGATTCATAATCGACCAGTTTAAAATTCCTCTCGCACAAACAGTATACTAGTTTTTACTCCCATGGATTCCAAATCACCAGGGAAAAGAGCAAAAGCTCATATCGGAGCTAGAATATCGCATTTAATATGTTTTTACTTCACAAACAGTAGCATTCTTTTGCGTTGTTATTTCAGATAAACCCTTGATGAACACGACACAAAATACTCAACCAGAGCTTCAAGAAAACTTCATGATCACACATAAGAAACATTAGTGTGCTGCATTTCCAATTCGGCCAAATACTGTGTTTGACACAGCCATCATGGCGACTTAACAGGTGCACATACAAGAGGACCAGCACTGGCGTTGTGAATTTCTCCGGTCGGACTGAAAACAACTCCCTAGCGTCGTTCGGGATCCACGCAAAACCTCCGCGCAGGCGATACCTTGCCGAACCCCCACTCGGAGAGGCTTCGACTGTCCCCGCTGAACTGCTCTCCTTTGCTTGTCGTCGGAGCGCCTTAAACCTGCGCAGATTGTGTAGGGCATGAACAGCAACATCAACAACTTACAGCCAGAGGATAGCAAAAAGTTGGCCAACGATGACGACAAGGAACGGTATTGCAACAACAATCATCGGTGTATCACTGTTGTTGGACTGCCCCGGAGTAGGAGTGACCCCAACAATACGTCCCCACACCGGAGCATGGGTCGAGTTCTGAGACACCAGTCATATAATCGCTGAAGGTGTATAATCAACGGAGACGGGCAAATGGAGATAACCACGGGTAGAGCGCGAGAGGATCCTACGGGAGGGCGCGTTGTAGTGACATTCTTGACACAGAACCTGAGAAGTGCATTTTTGGACAACTTCTGAGGAAGCTCTGTGGATTACTCGCGAGTCCCGCCAGGAGTATACGTTGACCTCCAGCCCTCCTCGCATATGCAGATTCCCTCCCGTTCCGACCAGTTGCCGCGACCGTGACAGTCTGGTACTGACGAGCACGGCGGGTCAGAGAGCAGCGACAGAGAGCAATACCCACTTATATGAGGCCATCTTTCTGGAGCAGGGATATCCCTGTCGAGCCAGTGAGAACCATTGTCCGGCAAGGCCAAGCCGGTACCTCTCTTTGGGCAAGGACTGCGAACAGACAGCTGAGCTTCGACGATAGCCACTGGTTAAGCGTACATGTGCCATTCATCAGCTTCGAGCATGACCGAACTTGTCAAAGGGTTACGCTTGGCGTATATAACTCCTTCTTGGCATTCACAACGCTGCATGAAGCGATTCCATGTGTAGGGACAGTCGATGTTCTCGGATAGATCTGATAAATAGAACTGCTATCTTACAGCGACGATTCTGTCGGTGAGGAAGTACAGGGGTGCCACTCGTACTCGAACTGGGTATAATTGGTGGGGAAGCACCTTGAAAAACATGGCAAGAGTTATTGGTAAGGACCACAGCGTCTGTAGAGGGCTACAACATTCCACCGGCAACATCCGGGATATTTCCTCTGATAAGGTCTTCGCATACTGAAAGGAACGATGAAGAACTACACAGGGTCAATGAACTTACAGTAGATGATTCCTCTCGACTGTACATGCCCTTGGATCGTCTCGTTCCATTGTATTTTGCCTCCCCAGATAGCACATTGCCTGAAAGGACGACGACTAACAGACTTTCCATCACCGAGAAGAGCTACAGGATAGCACTGTATCTCATATTCTCCGAGGCATTAGGCTTGTGGGTAGACCACCCATATACCCACTGGTCGTCACACTCGCACCTGCCGTTCACCCAGTGCCCACGACCGTGACAGTAGCGCTCCAAACGGTCTTTATGGTAAGGGCTCCAGTCGGCAGGCCAAGGAAACGAGGATGACATCGCTACAATCGGAAGGAACCTGTCAAACTATGCACCAGTTGGCGACATTCAGAATGTCTTCCCCCCGTTCTGTAGCCGTTTTCAAGCCGTTTCCATCGAGGCGAGCGATAAGTAACCCGCCTTATGGTCACACGGTTGACACAAACGTTCATCTCGGTTCGGTACTAACACGTCATACGTATCTCGTAAACTCTTGTAGTGCGCAGTACTATCGCGAGGGTAGATAAGTCGTCGTGGATATTGCCGATTTTGAGTCAATAAATCTTCCAACTCGGACAAGGATTGATGAAACTGTGAATACTTGATCGACACTGTTTTACACTGATGTGATTGGAATGAGCATGGACCCTTGCTCAATTTTCTCTTCAATGACAATGAGATCATCAACTTATTCATGATGATGAGCCGTTCATTTTGGACGATAATGTATCGTGAACGCTTCACTAGGGAGGACTCAGATAAACGCAAAGCCTTCTCCAAGTAAGATCACTCACATGAATAGGTAGTGACATGTTGCTTGAGTTAACAGGCATAGTTGGGCAGTAGAAAATGAAATCACACTTTCACGAAGTCATCGGATGTGACGGACACCGGGGAGAGATAACCAGCCTGCGTCCCTCGAGTTTGCAGTTGTACAGCATTGAAGAAGCAGTGGTCTGTAAATGTGCTCCTATCCATGGGAGACCTGAACAAGAACGACTCTGATAATTGATGGTAATTCCCAGAGTTTTCGAGTCAACATGGACAACAAAATCAGTTTGGCACTCACGTTGCATGGATGCATACTTCGCAATATCAGCTTAAAATTGGTGCAAGTCCGGCCAATGAAAATTTGTGGAAGAGTGAAGCATCTTCCTCAACAAGCGAAGTTGTGATAAGCCAATGAATGCGGTCGACACCAGTTTGAGAAAGCGTAACGGGAAGTTAACACCGAGTTCGACACCATGGGCTCACTCTGTAACTGTGATATACGAGTTACCAATCTATTATAGAGCCCATCATGCGTTTCAGAACGAGTTCACTGAGAGAAGGTATGTGTAAATAAGACATACCTGGTTTCGTTATATTGTAGATCCAGTGGTCGGGCGTCTACTTCGAAGGGGGCGTACGGATGAGCTTCGTAACTTCGCCGCACCACTTTGAAAAAGTGTGAGAATACAGGCACCACGAAGCGAACGGTGAAGAACACCATAATGAGTATAGTGAGGCCCTCTAGTAATGAAGGATAGATAGTTGATGGGGATCTAGAGGAGGCCACAGCCCTGAGATAAGAAGGCTTAATAGATGTACTCAAGGTGCGGTATTACTGCCATCTCGACCCGGGGTAGTCGTTGGTAAGTGAGGCGAATCGTCTACCTCTGTGCATGGAAGGTTGTTGTGATAGAGATGAGCTGATGAGACGCGACGACGAATGAATCTACTTGCACGCGAGCCCACGTACACTTGTAACTAGCGCGCGCCCGGAGTGGCATTACTTTGCAATCACATCGCTAGGTTTTCGAAATTATTGTATATCGGGTTCTCCCTGAAGGTTGTATTTGTTACGTTTTGGGTACGCCAAATATCCTTGCGAAGCACTAAGAGGGAATAGGGAGAAGTAGACCAGTATGATCCTCGTTGTAATGTCTTATCATAGCGATTCTCGTGTGACCCGAGTCGTGTCCCGTTATAACTATACCATAAATCCCGCAAATACTCACCTGGTAAGGAGTGTCGCAATGAGGTCCGTCACCTTATGCAGTTGAAGGCATCATCACTTTGACTTCTTATCGGCCCGTCTCCAGTAAAGTGGCGTGCTACAGGCCATCTAATTAGTATATCATAATATTATGAGTATTAGGTATTTATTACATATTGTATTCTATTTTTAATAAAGACATATATATTATTAGTTATTATCAATATCGGGATATGCCCATTTTATATATTATTTTTATATGTATCGTATTATACTTGATTACTAATTATCTATAATGAATATACTAATCTAAGGTGATGTAAAAGTGGTGATCAGCCTGATATTGCCTCGGCTACTCTGTCGCCAGCTTCATCTGGTGATAAACTTATTACCATGTTCATTGGACCAGCTCTGGAATTCAGAATCGATTCTAGCATCGTATTATACGTGTAAGAAACGATTCTGGCTTACGAAATCGGTGTATCGAAAGGCCCCTATAATTCAGTTTAGTTTTGAATAGTATTATCCGTGATGAGTGCTGACGGCGCTTCAAAGGGAGTGCATATTTTACTAACAGGCTTCGGCCCTTTCAGCGGCGTTGAGGAAAACCCTACGCAAGCTGTAGCCGAGGCTTTGGAAAATGCCGAAGACAAACACATAGGTGATCTAACTCCCTCGACACTCCTTGCTACGGCGAGTAGTATCAGGCACGTGCAGCGACTATGAGGTCTTCAGCTCAGCTGTGGAGGTCTCGGTTGAGGAGTGTGAGCGAGTATCGATGGCAATGAGTAAAAAGGCTGAGGAACTATCCAAGGCTAGAAATGTCCTTCTACTGCACATGGGCGTTGATGCCCAATGTGATCACTTGAAACTAGAACGTGAGTACAACGTTCCCTCTACTTAGAGAAGCATAGGCCTCAGGTACGGCCCATAACGTGGCCACCTTTCGAGTGCCAGATGTGCGGGGTGCTCAGCTGAGTGGGCGTGAGATCTTGCCGGGCCAACCCGAGAAGCTGCAAACCTCAGTGAGTGTAGAGGCGATCGTTGGGGCTTGTCAAGAACGAGGGTGTCGTGTGGAGGTCTCTGATGATGCTGGCCGATATCTTTGTAATTATATATTCTTCCACTCACTTGCCAACATGGAGGGGCGCGCTCTTTTTCTTCACCTTCCATCGTTCAGTGTGTTGCCGGAGGAGAAGCAGTGTGCAATGGTGAAGGAGATCCTCGACGTTGTCGCTATACAATGCGAGAACAGTTTCTGAACAGTTGCAAGTCGTCTCTGAAAACAATGCTTTGCAGTGTTGGAAAATATATGTTCGCTTCCCTCAGAAGTTTCTTTACTCATCACAGGAGTATTTTTCGAATTCGGGTGAAAGTGTACGGAAACCAGTGAGAATTTCCCAAAATTTCCTCAGAATTTTCGTATTCTCACCAACACATGTAGTTGACCATGCGAATATTCTACCACACTGATGTTATTGTATACCGGCCACTCCTCGTTTTCATCCTTCATCTCCGTTGATGGTGGGGGTCAGTCTATGGTCAGCTGAAAGGTCTCCAGCAAGAGCCCATATTACTACTACTACTACTACTACTACTACTACTACTACTACTACTACTACTACTACTACTACTACTACTACTACTACTACTACTACTACTACTACTACTACTACTACTACTACTACTACTACTACTACTACTACTACTACTACTACTACTACTAATACTACTACTACTACTACTACTACTACTACTATCGCGGTAGTAGTCGAGGCTCGCCTCTATACATGGTGACAGAGTACTTGGCTACCTGCTGGAGCTAGCCTTGAGATATCCGCTTTATCATCGCAGGAAGCGACGGGTGGATACCGCGCGTTGTAGGCTACTACTTAGATCATACGAATAACGTCTTGGGGTTAAGGAAAGACATTGAAAAGGTGTGCTTGAGGACGGCGATGTCGACATACCAAAGGCATTTGGGCGATACTCTACTACTTGATTGAGTTGTCGCAGATGCCATACGCGACACAATCCACTACAGTGTGTTGATCTCGTTTAGTTCACGTCTACTTGATAGCGTTGCAAGGATAACAAGTCAGAATACAAATAACTTGACTCATCCGCACGCCCACGCGATGCTGCTGTGTCTCTCCGTAAGTATTTATGCGTTTTAAACCTTCCTCTAGTTGCGTTTCGACGTACTGTCACATTACAAACACCGCGATGCAAAGGGTGCCCGGTCGTCACCTCGACAACCTCAGAGGCCCAAAGATGAGTATACTCTATCAGCGATAGCACTCAACGCTAAGGGACTCGTTCGTGGGGTCTGGTTGCCCTTCCAAGCACTCGAGTGGCTCAGACTTCTCCCCCATGGCTAGGAGGAGTTGAGGGATCTCCTTATGAGGGCCTTGGATTCGGATAACATCACCGATTTGTAGGCTGAAACTTAACGTCGAGCGGGCCGGAGGCAGTTATTTCCAGGTGATGGCTGATAGCCACGTGGCTCTACGAAGGATGCCCCTCAAGAACGGCTACAATTGCGGTTTCTCATGACGATGATAACAAGGGCCACGTACGGGGGCACCACGATCGCCGACTGCATATGATCGTAGTATGTTGAATCACAAGTAGACGAAACTATTCGAATTGGTCTGTGGCCCCTTATTGACTCAGTCTCGTTAGACTACCATCATTACTCCCGTTACAGCATCACAGAACACCATCAATTGCGAAAAGGAATTCCCCACAACTACTTTACCACGCACATCATCGGGCGCATCACAGCTGTCGATTCTAGTATCGGGTGGAAACCGGGTACTAGCGCTCGATCAACTACCCTTTTTTGAAGTGCTAGTAAGGGAGGGAGGGAAGCATGAACGATGTGACTGTGAGCTGATCTCACTCGCCTGGAGGTGATGCGGTTGCGAGCTCCCTGATGGTGTGTACGTGAGGATTGTCTCCTGTTCTCTATGATGTGTGATGGTTCGCTCGGTGGTCGACACACTATAGTGACAACACAGCACCAATGTAAGGAAAACCTCGGCTGGCTCGAATGGTGACTTCAATGACTATAACAGACGAGTTCACTCTTAAGACTGCTGCTAATTCAGCTGCGTTCGCAGCTTATGACCATAACACCGATCAACATTAGTATTATTGAGCAAACTTGAACCCCGAACCCTGCTATTGCTGCTGTACATCGACTGCCAAGGCGGCCCACTACTACTAGTCATACAATTACCAAATGTGACAAATACGAGAACGGCCTAGTAGGGCAACACCGGTCATCATAGTGCTGCTGATGCTCATCATCATCACCATAACGATGATGATCAAGCTGTTCATGAGCCCCCTTTACGAACGCTCGGTCTGGCCTCTCTCCTCGTTATCATTGTTAGCCATAGTAGGAGTTGATGTATCAGACACCTCAGGGGCCGCTTCATTCTGCTGCTGTTGTTGTTGTTGGCCACGCCATAGAGTCTGATGGACAGCCATGACCTGCTGGGGTGTTATGATACCTTGGGGTGATATAGGCATATTCATCGGTGGTTGTTGTTGTTGCAAATACTGATTGCTATTGCTAGCAGCACCAGCAGCAGTCCCACCACTAGCCGATTGTGTAGCAGACCCTTGCTGCATCTGCCTCGTCAACTCAGCAGCCGATATCCCAGGACCCCCACTAGGACTCTGTTGTTGCTGTGGTTGTTGATAACCGGTAAACATCGACATTAAATAAGGTGGAATAGGCCCACTAGCTGTGGCTGCCATGTGTGGTGATAGCATCCCTTGACTAGCTGCGGCGAACATCTGTGGTGAATACATAACTTGGGGTGGGACAAAGCCGCCCATACTCGTAGGGTAGTTGAGATTCTGTTGGCCCACCATATTACCACCATTACCAAGGCCTCCCATGGCAGTCCCACCAGGACCACCAGCAGCAGCCGAATTATTAGCGTTCCAATAGCCGCCGCCGCCGCCACCACCACCTTTCCCTTTCCCTTTGCCTTTGCCTTTACCACCACCCAAAGTGCCCGACTTGAGACGTTGGTAGTGAGCCTTTTGACGGTTGATCACTGAGCTCACATCGAAGGCACCACTTATAACATCGTTGAGGAGGTCCACACAGACACGCACCTAAACAGTGTGTAGTGTCCCACATGACTACCACCAACACCAGCAGCAGCATTACCGCATCAGCTGTGCCAACGACCTTAGCCGAGCGAGGACTCCCATCCTCCATTTCGACTGGCTGCAGCTGGACTCGGCAGCCGCTGCGGCGACGGACCTCATCAAGCACGCACCTAAGGATGATGCAACATGATCGGCGGCCGTCAAAATACCAGGGAGTAGTGTTGTTACCCTTGGGGGCCGATGACAGTCCCGACCTTATCAGCGGGCACTTCTACTTCCTCTTCAACATCATCAGGATATAGACACTCACACGGTTCACATGATAGGACGACTCCCTTTAAATGAGATATCGCAGCCTGAAACACTGAATCGGTGGACAAGACAGAGACAACGAGAAGTACCTCAACAGAATCAGCAGTAGGACCACTGATTTTGAAAGTGCTAAAACCTTGATCGGAAGTAGTCTGGTCAACCTGAAGATGCGACGACTACCGCCACCAGAATCGTCACCGCCATTATGGCCCTCCACTCCTACTTGAATGAATGTACTGAGCTCGTCCTTCAACCTCTTGATGGTCTCCCCTCCACGACCAATCGCCTTACCAACTGCCCTCTGGGGTATCCTCATCTCTCTAGTAAACTCGGC